TGAGTGTGATTGTCATGTTGCCATGATAGCATGCTTACCATGAGACTATTTACTTAAATGATTAACTACATGAATGCCTGTGGATGACGGCTTGATTGTTTGAATTGGAACAATTTGACGAATGAGTGTTTTAAGCCTACTTTGCAAAGTGGCAAAATCATGTTTTAAGCCCACTTGAGGTAGCAAATCTGCCAACTTTTAAGCCCACTTGAGGGTGGCAAATTCAAACCATTTTCGAAAACAAACATGAGTTGTTTTGTTCTAATTCTTGCGATCTTAGTCTATACTTGCTTGTGTGTGCGTCACATAGTAAAGTTAGCTAATAACCAGATAAGAACACATGAGGTTTATTATAAAACAACATATCATGATTATTAGAGGCCGATCCTTTGATCGGGCGTGTGGAGGTGCTCATTTCATAACCTTCCCCCCTCATACCCAAGTTCCCGAGCCGAGGCAACTTTAGTGATGACGGACACATGGCCATTGGCACGAGTCAGGATTTCCTAAATTTTTCCAAAACAAAATATTTAGGTGGCGACTCTGTAATCTGGAAAAGTAGTCTAATTTTGGCATTTTTTGATTTAAAATCGATTTTTCAAAATGATTTTCTAGATTGGACTCTTTGGTATTTATCCATTTCACATTGCACTTTGTGAGATTAGATTCAGAACTGTGATAGGAGTCTAAACTGTAGGAACAATTTGAGCTCTCCGAAAAGGGGCGCGAAAAGTTGAGCTACAGGGGCTAATTATCATGATTTGCTAAGTATTTACTATTGCAAGTTATGCTTATTTGATTGAGCACACCCCTTCAAATGAATTTTCAAAACCATATTAATGTGCATTCTGTATGCCTGTGTGGTCACTGAGTATTGCCCTTACTACTGGAATTACATATACATATATATATATATATATTGTGCACATAAAAATATTTTGTGACAGATTGTCCAAATAAGAATATTATATATATATATATATATATATCATGAGTTAGTATTTCATTACTGTTTTGGGCTTTATTTTTGATGTTAGCATTTATGGATGGCCTTTGTTTATCAATATTGAGATCAACCATGAGAATGAAACATGAATTTCTGATGTTCATTTGGAATCCTTTAGTGGTGTTGTTGTGTCTGTGTTGATCTGCTGATGAAATGGCATTATTTTCGCCATTATTTTAATATTGTCCATGGCCAATGATTGTGTTAGCCTCTCTGTGACTTTTCATTTGCATTTTGACAGGGTATCTACCAATGCTATGACTAAAAACAATAGTGTTAATATCATATCTATAAGAATTTGTTGACAACATAAATAAATAACAAACTTATAAGGCCGCCAGATGTGTTTAACACGCAGTTTACAACAGCAACAAAGTTTGTTTATTTTGGATACAAATATGTGAATACATTTGACTTGCTCATGCATAACTTTGTTTGTTAGCTCATCGAAGTATTATAGAAGAAAAAAAGTTTCTTGCTTATGTGGGCAGGGATCTGTTGTTGAACAATGTTACAATCAGCTATTTTACAGGGTAAGAATGATTTTGCTACCAGTGAACGTGTACTAGGGACAGATAGTGGGAAAAGATCTTACACTTCTGGGCATGTCTACTTAGCTAGTTTTAGTAATTTTGGGGATTTTCTTCTACCCTCTTCATCAGATTCAACAAGTATGTTTCCTTACCGATCACGTTTCACTTTTTTTATCTCTTTTCTTTTCTTTCTTTCTCTAAAGATTTGTTTCAAAAAATTATTTCTTTTGAAAATCAATAATGCTACAATGACCATGTTTGTATTGTTGGAGATAAAAATGAATAACACTGAAAACAGAGGCAAAAACCAAGAAAACAAAGGCAAAGAAATATATAAAATCTGAACTGTTAGGTCCTCTTATTCAAGTTAAAAATACTGAAGCAAATGCGCCTATATATAGGCTTACAAACTAAGCTACCAGAACAGAATTTTATGTACCACCAAGGCACTAACTTAGACCACTACAGCCACTAGCAACATATCAACAACAACTACCCAATTGACTAAACAGACTCATAAAAATACGGACACTACTAACAACCTGAAAAGACCAAGTCAGACTTTGAATCATTCTTCAACACTCCCCCTTGATTCAAAATTGCAAACGCCAAGGAAAGCTCTGAAGTAGAAAAACTTTTCTTTTGACAAAGACTTTATCAGTATATCAGCCAGCTGCTCATGACTGCTACAGTACTTCAAAGTTGCCTCCTTCTTCGCAACCAAATCACGAATGAAATGAAGACGCATATCTATATGTTTTGATCTACTATGAAATGCTGGATTTTTTGTCATAAAGATGGTTGCCTTGTTGTCACAAAAGATCTCCGTTGCTCCCTCTTGCCTTTGTTGAAGTTCAGCCAACATTCTTCCTAACCATATGGCTCGACAAGCTGCTGAAGTGGCTGCAACGTACTCAGCTTCTGAGGACGACAATGCTACTACGGCTTGCTTCTTTGAGCTCCATGTGATTACTCCTAATCCAAGAGTAAAAACATTTGCTAAAATACTCCGCCTATCATCCAAAGAACTTGCCTAATTGCTGTCCATGAACCCACATAATTTGAAATTGAAAACTTTTGAGTACCAAATCCCATAATCCATAGTTCCAGCGATGTAACGCAAGACTCGCTTCGCTGCTCCAAAATGAAGCTTTGAAGGAAGTTACATAAACCTAGAAATCATACCAACAGAAAATGGAATATCGGGACGAGTGTGGGTTAGATAAATTAAACCACCAACCAAGCTTCTGAACCTGCTAGCATCAGCCATTTCTGCCCCATCTTCACACTGCAATTTTTCATTGATATTCATGGGTGTAGTTGCTGGTTTACAATTAAGCATGCCAAATTTATTAAGAAGATCCTTGGCATATTTTCTTTGGGAAATAAAAATCCCATCTTCTGCTTGTTTGGACCTCAAGGCCAAGAAAATAATGCAACAAACCCATATCTGACATTTCAAACTCATGCATCATACGTTATTTAAACTCAGCCACGAGAATTAGAAGAGCTTGTATAAATGATAACATCAACATAAAGACAAATAATGATGAAATCATTTTTACCTTCCTTCTTCACGTAGAGAGTGGGCTCATTCTCACTTCTCAAGAATCCATTTTGCTGAAAGTATCCATCAATTTTGCTATACCATGCCCGAGGAGCCTGCTTTAATCCGTACAACGCCTTTCTCAACTTGTACACCCTTGTCTCTTTGCCTTCAATCATGAAACCTTTTGGTTGAGTTACATAAACTTCCTCTTGTAGATCTCCATTTAGAAAAGTTGACTTCACATCAAGTTGATAAACATGCCATTGTAATTGTGCAGCCAATGCTAAAATAATTCTCACAATTTCAAACCGAGCTATTAGAGAAAAAGTTTCTTCGAAATCAATGCCATGTTGCTGTGCGTATCCCTTTGCCACAAGCTGAGCTTTGTGCTTTTGTATACTTCCATCTGCACCAAATTTTTTCTTAAATACCCACTTCAAACCAATTGCATTTTTGCCTTCCAGCAAGTCCATCATCTCCAATGTTCTGTTCTTTTCAATTGCTGTCAATTCTTCCACCATCGCTCTTTGCCATTCTTCTTTTGTAGCTGCTTCTCCATAAGTCATACGATCTGAAACAGTAAGAGCAAATTGGCAAGACTCATAACTGTCTCTCAAGGATCTAAACTTTCTGGGTGGTGTTTCATCCGAAGACTCTTCAAGAGTGGACGAAAAGTCTCTCCTTGGTGAACTTGGTGACGCCATAGAGGAACCGGATGAACTTGTATGAATTGGCACTTGACTTTCATTTGGAGAGATTCCAATGGACATATGAACCTGTTGTCGCATTTTCTCATCACGTCCGCGCCAATCCCAACTTGCATTTTCATCAAATACTGCATCCCTTCTAATTAAAAACTTGCCACAAGAGGGTTATATAATCTATATGCTTTGGATTACATACAGTAACCAATGAAAATGCATTTTTCAGATTTTCATCAAGTTTATGACGAAATTGAGAATTTATCAAAGCATAAGCAATACACCCAAAAACTCTTAAGTGACTTACAGATGGTTTTGTGCCACGCCAAGCTTCAACCGGAGTTCGATTCATGACTGCCCTTGTGGGAGAAAGATTCAATAAATAAACTAATGTTGCCACAGCTTCAGCCCAAAATCCGTTCGAAAGTCCATTTGCTTGTAACATGCTTCTTGCCATCTCCACAACAGTTCGATTCTTCCGCTTGGTGACGCCATTTTGCTCTGGAGTGTAAGGAGTTGTCAACTCCCTTTGAATGACATTTTCTTCACAAAAAAAATCAAAATCTTTGGATAAAAATTCTCCACCTCTATCAGTGTAAAGAACTTTGATGCAAAATCCACTTTGCTTTTCAACTTTAGTTTTGAAGTGTTTAAATTCTCAAAGGCTTCGGATTTGTTTTCTAAAAAATAAACGCAACTCATGCGACTATAATCATCAGTAAATAGCAAGAAATAATGACTTCCACCAAAAGATTTAGTTTGCATGGGTCCACATAAACCAGCATGAATTAATTCGAGACACGTTGAAGCTCTCCAGGCCTTTCCAACTGGAAATGACTTTCTAGTTTGTTTCCCATAGATGCACCCTTCACATAATTCAATGGAACCAATATTCGGTAATCCAAAAACCATAGCTTTTTCTTTTAGCAATTTCAGACCCTTGATGTTGAGATGCCCGTATCGCAAATGCCGTAGCTTCGAGTCATCTTTTGCACTAGCAGCAAAGACAAAATTCTTCATGCTTGAAACTTCCAATGGGAACATTTTGTTTTGAGTCATGTTGATATTGATCAACGTATGGCCTGAGTGCTTGTCTCTAATAACACATGCATCATTATCAAATGAGATGGAATATCCACCAGCCATTAATTGCCCAACACTTAGCAAATTATATCCCAAATCAGGTACAAATTGAACATTATGCAAGAGCTTTATGTTACCATGGGTAGTTTTATGCTCACTGTACCTTTCCCTTCAACTTGCATTTCTTTGGCATTTCCCAGCTGCACCTTCAACTTCTGCTTCTCATCAAGCTCTTTGAATAACGATTTCATCCTTGTCATATGATTCGAACAGCCGCTGTCTACGAACCACACATCGCTTGACATATTGTTAGGATCAAAATGAGTCATAAAAAGCTTACAACTTTCTTCTCCATTTTTTGCAGCATAATTCACTTGCTGATCTTTGTACCAACAATCAGCTTTTATATGACCATACCTCTTACAATGATAGCATTGAACACCATTCTTGTAGTTTCTTTGCTCACCAGACTATCGTTGCCCATCCAAGCGACCTCTGCCTCTTCCGTTACCACGACCACGACCACGACCACGGAATCCTCCTCTTCCACGGCCTCTGTTTGTCGAACTGTCGCTTTCTGCAGCTTTGGTGACTATGTCCTTCACTTGAAATGGCTTTTCTTCATTCTTTTCAAATGATCGATTAATTCTTGTCTCATGTGCTTGCAAGGACCCCATCAGTTCATCAAAGGAAAAAACTAACAAATCCTTAGATTCTTCGATGGCAGTAACAACGTGATCAAACTTTTGAGTCAAGCTTCTCAGTACCTTTGCAACAACTGTTTCATCAGAAATCTTCTCGTCGTACGATCGCATTTGACTAACTATTGTCATGACCCGAGATAAAAAAAATCAGCAATTGATTCTTCATTCTTCATGTACAAGGTTTCAAAGTCACGCCGTAGTGATTGCAATTTCACCACAATAACTTTTGAATCACCTTGAAACTCCTTCTGCAGAGTTGACCAAGCTTGCTTCGATGTGGTTGCCGCTGCAATTCGTGAGAAGATGCTGTCATGAACAGCCTGCTGAATAATCACCAACGCCTTCGAATCTTTCTTCTTATTCTCCTTCAATCTTGTTTCTTCATCAGGATCTGCGTAGCCTTGTTCTACCAAATCCCAAAGATCTTGAGATTTGAATAGGGTCATCATTCAGATACTCGAGAATCCATAGCCTTCTCCCTTAAAGATAGGGATGAGTGGTTGTGCAGCACTCATTGCATTGTCGTTGCTGGCCATTGGTTTTTCCTCTCAGGTGTTTCACTCAACTCACGTGTTTACCCTCTCTTCTCACTCTCTCAACCTAGCTTTGATACCAAATTTGTTGGAGATAAAAATGAATAACACTGAAAACAGAGGCAAAAACCAAGAAAACAAAGGCAAAGAAATATATAAAATCTGAACTGTTGGGTCCTCTTATTCAAGTTAAAAATACTGAAGCAAATGTGCCTATATAAAGGCTTACAAACTAAGCTACCAGAACAGAATTTTATGTACCACTAAGGCACTAACTTAGACCACTACAGCCACTAGCATAATATCAGCAACAACTACCCAATTGACTAAACAGACTTAGAAAAATACGGACACTACTAACAACCTGAAAAGACCAAGTCAGACTTTGAATCATTCTTCAACATGTATACCATATTTGGTTTACTGTATGATATGTCATCACTATATTGGTAACATACATGAGTTCTAGAACCTATTCAACTAATAAAAACATGACAAATGAGATGGTAAACCCAAAATGATATATAAAGATGGTCATTGTAGCATTCTCTCTGCAAATTTCATTCTAAGTGAGTTTTAATTTAATCAGGAATTTATTTTTTAGGATTTGCTTACTTTATGGGATTTTATTAGTTTAGTTAACCTATATATGACTTTGCTGTAATGAACTAATCAAGTTTTGAGCTTTCTAGATGTTTACAAAATGACTCCAACCTTCACGCTTTTAATATATTGTGCATGGGCTCCATAGGACTTTGTTACCGAGCAAGGAAGAAATAATCTATTCTTTTAGTCTCTTCCCATTCATGAGAACAATTTGTTATAAAAAATCACACCATTCCTCATTATCTTTTTCCCTTCACTTGCCTTGGTTTTCTTTCCTTTGATCCATCATTTTCTCCTTGAACCCAAAAAGTTGGACTTGTTTTCAAGTTCATTTCCCACCTCTGAGGTTTTTATTTTCTTTTCTTTTCCAACTTTGTTCTGAAGTTTCGATTTGCGGCCATAGTAGTGTAACTGGTGAGTTGGTTAAAGTTGGGTATTGAGATCTTAGAGGTAAAAACAGATCTTTAGCATTTAAAATGAAGTTTATGAAACTTGGATCGAAGCCTGATTCATTTCAGATTGATGGGGACAGTATTAGATCAGTATTAGACCCTTTTTTCATTAATCCTAGTTTCTATTTTCATTTTTTTTTTGCATGAATTATATTTTTTTGATTTTACAAAATGACTCCAACCTTCACGCTTTTAATATATTGTGCATGGGCTCCATAGGACTTTGTTACCGAGCAAGGAAGAAATAATCTATTCTTTTAGTCTCTTCCCATTCATGAGAACAATTTGTTATAAAAAATCACACCATTCCTCATTATCTTTTTCCCTTCACTTGCCTTGGTTTTCTTTCCTTTGATCCATCATTTTCTCCTTGAACCCAAAAAGTTGGACTTGTTTTCGAGTTCATTTCCCACCTCTGAGGTTTTTATTTTCTTTTCTTTTCCAACTTTGTTTTGAAGTTTCGATTTGCGGCCATAGTAGTGTAAGTGGTGAGTTGGTTAAAGTTGGGTATTGAGATCTTAGAGGTAAAAACAGATCTTTAGCATTTAAAATGATGTTTATGAAACTTGGATCGAAGCCTGATTCATTTCAGATTGATGGGGACAATATTAGATCAGTATTAGACCCTTTTTTCATTAATCCTAGTTTCTATTTTCATTTTTTTTTTGCATGAATTATATTTTTTTGATTGTGTTATTGCTTTCGTTTGTTTTGATTCTTTCTAAAGCAATGATTCACTTCTATGGCATTCGATACAACCAGTTACCGCAATTTCTTGAGCAACCTAATGATCAAACATCACATTCTCTTCTAATACAACCTTGTAGTATAGTTTTCTAGTAGTTCTTTACTTCACTGTGACAAAGTCTCATGGAGAAGGAAAATAGAGAAACCTCCCAAAGAGAGCCGAAACTTTTTTTTTTCTCTCTCTTTATGTTTTCTTCTACTCATTTTTCAATTATTGTTTCACTTAGATCTCTGCTTTTGCTCTTTTATTTTATTTTATTTTATTTTTGTTTTGATAAATGCAGGTTTGAAGTAATGTGGTAAGAGTTGCAAGCTTAGATGGTTGAATTATCTTAGATCATACATCAAAAGAGGTAATATATCCCCACTAAAACAAACAAAAAAAAAGAAAAAACATTTTTAATAACATTTTTTAATAGCATTCTTCTTAAAATGTTATCAAATATAATGCATTTAGGATCAGATGACATTAATGTTTTTTTTTTTTTTTTTGCAATGAATTCATATTTTATGGAAACAGGGTTAGTTGCTCCAGCTATTCTCGCTGGTTTAGGTGCCTTAGCACATACATTGGGTACCCTCGTCCTTATGATAGAAGCAAGTGGGTTTGCTGCAGCTGCAGCTACAACTGCTTTAGGAACTGTTGCCGATAGTTTTAGATAATCTCTTAATAGTTTTCGATATGTTTCGAAACTTTGATATGCGTAGTTTTGGATGGTTTAAACTTTTTGTATAGCTTAGAACTTAAGGATATAGTTTTCGAATGTTTAGAATGTATAGACAATTATTGAATGTTTATAATTTATAAATGTAGTTTCTTTTTGATGCTTCAAACAATATTTTGGTGGTTGATTGATATTTTGTGAGGCTTGCTTGTAATGTTTGTTAGATTATACAGAATTGGTCAAATAGAACCTGTTGCATTAAACAAAAAAACAAAAAAAAGTGCATATTCCACAACACGCATAATAAGTCATTGTATTACATAATTTACGACGAGTAAAGTTGTGATTTGTCCCAAGAATTAACAGCGTGCAAAAGTAGTTGTAAAAAAATAAAACACAACACACAAGATCTGCTGTTAAAGGGTTTTTAACGGCGTGCAAAAATAGTTGTCGAAAAATCAAGCATGACTTCACAAGATCCGCTGTTAAAGAGCTTTTTACGGCATACTACGGCATGCTGTTGAAAGCAAATGACTTTTCATGACTGGTCATAATATGGCGTTACCTTGTGCGTCGTAGAATTGTATCCACGGCGTGCATTTGGCGTCGTAAGAGCCCTTTTTTGTGGTAGGGTTTCATACAAAAATATATCTAAATACTAATTAATAAATTTGAATATTAATAAATAAAATTTTACCCAAATTTAATTTTTTTAATAAACATGCACAAATATGTTATTTTCATTATGAAAAAATATTCGATATATGTATTTATCAATTTAGAATATATTTACAGAAATAAGTTCGTCAAGTAACTCTTCAATTTATATTTGTTGACTGAATCCTAACATGACTCATGGCAGTTCGATTATCCCTGAGAATTTTAGAAATTTAAAAAATACTCTTACACTTGAAGGTCAACTTAAATTTATCTTACCATATCAATTAATTATTTTTCTAAACCACAATATGGCACACAATAAATCGAGTAATATTTCTAATATAGTCATTGAAAAAAATATAACATTTAAATCTTTCATTTCATTCCTTTTTTTAGCGTACATCGCGCTAAACCCTAAAATTTGAACCTACCTTTAGCCATGAAAACTCAGTACTACTACCACAACAAGGTCTTTTAACAACTAAAATACACCACCACAATCAAAATCACACATAAAAGTTTAAGCATTTTCAATAAAAAAAATAATAATAAAGGGAATAGATAGAAGAGAGTTTTAGAGACACAAAAATAAAATAAAAATAGTGTTATTATGATATCTAACAAATTTTGATATGACAAATTATAATTATAAAAAATTTATAAACATAATATAGCTATGACAGACAGAAACAGTTTTTGAAATTTATGCAAATTTATTTAGTTTTAATTTTACCAATTGAATTAGGATACATGTATTTTATTATTGAACAAAATATTAATAGATTGATAAATCCCACTAGCATCTCCAACCCACTAGGTATATAATACTTGTTAGTCAAATGCCTAGCATGACTCACTTTTTTCAACTCCAATGCACTAGGCATATGATTAGGCATTTTAGCTCAACTCACATTCACTACCTACATGTAGCTAGTCTTCAAGGCTAGGCAAAATATATTTAATCATTAAGATTATTTCCCTCTATCTTTGTTGCTGATGTGACATTCTATAAAGTTAATAGTATTTGGATAAATAGCTAAAATACAAAGTATGGTTGGAGTAGAAACATGAAATAGTTGATAGGAAAAGTAAAATGTATACTTTATAGTAATGTTTAGATAGGTAAAATGCCTATTACCGTTGGAGTTGCTAGAAGTGTTTTAATCCAAGAAGTCCATGAATGAATTTTTTAACCTACTTAGTCCCATGTATTTATAGTTTTATTCCATAAAATCTTTTTTCTTGATTCATATTATTTTCTTAGACTCTTATGCCCTTATATTTAATATTAATAATGTGAACATTCTTTCTCATCTGATATGAATACCTATTTAATTGACAACACATTAAAAATAATGTGAACATTCCCTCTCATCTAATGTGAATGTTCACAACACCTTTCGAAATTTTTTTCTCTCATCTAATGTAGTGATGTGAACATTCACAGCATGTGAACCTTCTTATTTTTAATTGACAACACATTGAAATAACGTTCATTATGTTTTTAATTGACAACGCATTCTTATTCACAACATATAGTGATATGAACATTTGCAACATGTCAATATTTTCTCTCATCTAATATAGTGATATGAACGTTCACATTCGTATGATTTAGGGCTGGTTTGGCAATCTTAGAAAAAATCAAAAAGTCAAAAAGTTACATAAAAAGTTAAAAAGTTATCACTATTCACAAAAAAATATTAAAAAATTAATATACAAATATTAATACAAATCAAAAAATTGGCCCAAATGATGGTACTGACGTGATGAATTCAGTCAGTGACAGAGAAAAAAAAATTATAGCAGAATATTCACTAAATCTTAATAGTAAAGTTGGTCCCGTTGGGGCCCACCATGGGTCCCGTTTTGATAATCTGAACCGTTCAATATCGCTCAATATGTAGAACTTGCCTAGTACTATAAACCTGTAAAAAATCACGTTTATCAGATATCGCTAACTATATGATCAAATCAGTTTTGTATAAAAATGGATGGTGTTATACTTAACAGTTAACAGTTAACAAAAAAAACTAAGACGATCAGATAGCTATCGATATTCAATCAACGTGATTTTTCATAAGCATATTGTACTCGACGAGTTTTATATATTGACGGTTCCGATTATAAAAAGGGGACCCGTGATGGCCCCCACGGGCCAAACAACACCATCCAATCAAAGCCCGAGAATGAGACATTATTTTCTCATCTACTTACCCAACGGGCTCCTCTACCAATCCGTACGGCCTCCTACCCTATCTTCTCCTACACACTTATTTATACAATTTTTTAATACACATTTTTTCATAAAAAGTCAAAAAGTTAACCCAAACATTTATATTTTTTTTCCTCAACTTTTTAGTCTAAAATGACAAAAAGTGCACTTATTTAGGACACCCCAAACAACCCTTTAGTATGAATAATTAACAACACAATAATAAAAATTCATTTCAAATTAATGTGCATATAATGATGTGAACATTTATTTCAATTACATGATGTGAATATTCACGTTATATAATTGACAACACAATAACAAAAATACATTTCAAATTAATATGAATATAATGATAGTCAATATCTTGATGTATGGGAACTGCCAAAATATAATGACAATCAACACTAAATATTAATAGGTGTAGAAGAGATTGATAGTGTTTTGATTTTCTTACCTCAAATAAGAGGTAATGGAATAGTCAAAATAATATGAATTTGATGAAATAAAACTCTTTAAAAAAAGATTTATTAAAAAAGTTCCCATATTTAAATAAGTACTGAAACTTACTTAATTTTATCCTTTTATTTATTTTTAAATTATTTGCAATTAATTTTAAAATTAAAGTTGGAAATTTTACGCTAGTTACTCTTTTATGCCAATGACCTAATAAAAATGAAAGTAAAATTTCGCGTTACACCATGAGAACTACAAGAATAATATAGCGTGATCTTCCAAAATATTGAATAATTTTTTCCTTAATCGAGAAAGTCCTATTATAGAATTACAAACAACATTCCTTAATTAATACCCTTACCATTCATATTGTTTCCACCTTCTCTCTCGGGATTTCAAGGAGATTATGTTAACGCAATCAATACTCATAAATTTCAAACATCTCTCTATGTTATAATAATATTAATTACTCTCTCTCTCTCTCTCTCTCTCTCTCTATATATATATATATATATCCTCTGCAACATCCAAGAATCAACTCAAAATTCATATTTCAGACAATGGGTTTATTACAATTAACCAAAAAATCCCATGTAATTCTTCTCTTTCATCATGGTCGTCATCATCATCATCTACTTTTCCTTTGCTTGCTTTCATTTGAGTTCAATCTTAAGTATGATAGACGAGATGCTTCTTTACAAGTCTTGGTCTCTAAATTCAAATGACGTCGTTGTTCTCTTTTCACCTATTGAAAAAAAATATATACATATATATTAATCTTGTTACAAAGTGATAAATTTACCTAGTTTTGTCAAATGGGTTTTCCTGTTTTTATTTTTCTTGTATAATTAGTGGAAGAGAGAATCGACTTGTGACCTTTTCATTTTTTCTAGTATAATTAGTGGAAGACCTGTGACCTTTTAGTAAGATACACGGTCTCTAACCACTAAACTAGCCCAATGGTTGGCTTTTTTCGGTTGGCTTTTTTCTGTTTTCATAAGTGTTTTTGGCACAAAGAATGTAAGTTCGGAAAAATGTGTGTGTGTGTGTGTGTTTTTTTTATTTAATCAATTTTCTTATTCAACTTAATCTGTGAGATGTCTACAGGTTATCCAGATTGCTTTGGCCTTTTTAACATTGGGATTACTAAGTTCAAGAGAAGTAGAATGTGCAAGACACGGACACACAAAACTGTTTGATTTCCCGGCAATAAATTGTCGCAAACACAGTGCAGTTTTGACAGAATTTGGAGGCAAAGGAGATGGAAAAACATCAAACACGAAGGCATTTCAATCTGCAATTAGTCAACTAAGCCGGTTGGCATCGGATGGAGGAGCACAACTCATTGTACCGCCCGGTAAATGGCTCACCGGAAGCTTCAATCTTACCAGCCATTTCACTCTTTACATCCACAAGGAGGCCGTTATTCTTGCATCTCAGGTATGATAAACTTTAAATCCTCAAGGATAGGAAATTAAAAGACAATAAGGTTATTTACAACAATTAAATGTGCCAAGATCATAATATAGAACCACGAAATGGTCAAATAGGTCCACCTAATAGTTTTTATGTTGCAATGAGTCAGAAATTAGAGTTTTAGCTTTTTAGATGTGAGCCACAATTTTTTAATGAAATTTCAATATTACAGTGACGCGGGATCACCGTGGTATCGCCGTGGTTCTAAATTCGTTCACATTTTTGCAAATAAATTTTTTTCTCTAAAATTCTTGTCCATTCGCCCCTTTATCTCTAATACACTATCAACCACATGATATGAAAAGGAATTTCGAGACATAGGAATTTGAGGCACAATGGAAAAGTGCAGAAATTTTGGGAATATATGTGCCCCATTTTTGCCATTTTGCTGTACCCTCGTTTTTTGATTTTGAATCCTGAAGTCTAATCGAAATTTATCCACTATGATTATCTGCAAATCATGGTGTTATTTCCAAAACCCGTTAACAAATGAAATTTGAGTGACCTGCCCGTTAAGAGACACTTTGATCTCACATAATAATGTCGATGGTTAGAAGTTAATTGGCTTCAAAATATAACAGAAAAATGCCTAAAAAATTATGACCTCGTCTTTCGTTTGGTGTTGGCAAGTTGCTGCGATATCACACAACTAAATAAAACTTGATGATTATTTTTGGGCAGGATGAGTCCGAATGGCCTGTTGTTAGTCCGCTGCCTTCCTATGGGAGAGGAAGAGATGCCCCTGGCGGAAGGTTCAACAGTCTAATTTTTGGGACAAATCTCACTGATGTCGTTATTACTGGTAATTATACTTGTGCATGTTGGCTGTTTATCAATTAATGGAAACCGAATCCTCTGATCACATCTCTCAGCTTTGCATCATTTTGATTTTGATGTTGATCAGGTGGAAATGGGACAATCGATGGAAAAGGTGCGTACTGGTGGGACAAGTTCAAAACGAATCAATTGAAATACACAAGGCCTTACCTGATTGAGATTATGTATTCACAACAAGTTCAAATTTCTGACCTTACTTTAATCAACTCTCCTTCCTGGCATGTCCATCCCGTTTACAGCAGGTTCAGCTCTCTCCATGTCTTTGTTTTCCTCTTAATACATTTCTAGTAATTAATAACAGCCCCGTGTTTATCTCATAATTAATCGAAACCATGTAGGGATATAATAATCCAAGGGCTCACAATCCTTGCCCCAACTGATTCTCCCAACACAGATGGAATAAACCCAGGTGTGCAAATTAATTTTTCAACATATATATATATATATTTCAAAACTTTCAATTTATAGCTATTTCATATTGAATTACCTGTCTTGTTTTTACAGATTCTTGCTCAAATATACGCATTGAAGACTGTTACATAGTCTCAGGGGACGACTGTATTGCAGTGAAAAGTGGCTGGGACCAATATGGAACATCATTTGGAATGCCAACTCAGCACCTCCTCATCCGGAGGCTCACATGCATCTCCCCTGACAGCGCCGTAATCGCTCTCGGCAGTGAGATGTCCGGCGGCATCCAAGACGTTAGAGCCGAAGACATCATAGGCATCAATTCCCAATCAGGTGTCAGAATCAAAACCGCTGTGGGGAGAGGGGCTTATGTGAAGGACATCTATGTGAAAGGAATGAAAATGTACACCATGAAGTATGTGTTTTGGATGACAGGCAATTACGGGTCACATCCAGATAAAGGATTTGACCCAAAAGCATTTCCTGTCATCCAAAACATAAATTACAGAAACATATTCGCTCAGAATGTTTCGATGCCAGCTGACCTTGAAGGAATACAGGATCATCCCTTTACAGGGATTTGCATTTCAAATGCAAATATCAATTTGTCCGCTAAGCCGAAGAAAGTCCTCTGGAATTGCAGTAACATTGCTGGTGTTTCAAGTAAAGTCAATCCTCAACCTTGCAATCTGTTGCCCAATAAGGTGTCTGCGTCCTGTGACTTCCCTCCTGATACGTTGCCTATTGACAATGTAAAGTTGAAGATTTGTTCCGGTAGTGGCACCTACATTTAAAGATAGCTGATAAGCTATAAACTATCTTTGATAAGAAAAGTGAATGATATGAAATTTTTTGCAAGTTCTTCTATTTATTGAACTTATGCTCCCGTCTTAGAATAGGCACAAATGTGGATAAATTCATTGAACATTACAACTTGAATAAAACCAGAATGTGATAGCATTAGAGTGAAATTTCTCCATTGGATGAGAATGCAGATTGTGTTTGCTAAGTAAATTGAGGTCACCTACTCTCCTTTGAAAATTAATAGCTGATGAATTAAAGCTCAGCAGCAAAAGACTGAATAGATTTAAAGATTTTTTCTTGGTTTCTTTGATCAAAAGTAAAGGGGTTACAATTACTGAAGCCCATCTGTACAAAGGCCTAGACTGTTGAGGAGAAGGCCCAATACAACATGGGCCGAGCTACGGCCAAGCCATAGCCTTACTTCCCATTCCGAAGTGGACCGATCTATGTGCTCGACCCTGGCTCCCTTCTCCACTCCAAAGTGGGCCGAGCAAAGGATTCGATCTTGGCCCTTTCCCTGCTCCGAAGGAAGAAGGAAAGACCATGGGCCTAGCCCTAGCACCACTACAACAAAAAACATATTTGGCGACCCAAAAATTTGTCTCCAAAAGTACAAATTCCGTCGCCAAAAGAATCGGCGACAAACATATAACTTGTCGCCAAAGGCCTGTCACTAAAAGCATTGGCGACGAAATCAGAAATTGTCGCCGTAGGTAGACATTTAGCGACAAGTAAAATTGGTCGCCAAAAATCATATATTTTGTCGCTATAAAATTACAATTTGTTGCTAAAAGGTTAAAATTTGGATAGGCTATGTAGTTTTAGCGACAAGTAAATGCGTCGCCAAAAGTACTATTTAACGACAAAATTAATTTGGTCGCTAAAAATCACGTTTTTAGCGACAAAAACAATATGTTGTCGCCAAATATATTAACAGCGACCAAAATACCACCTGTCACTAAAAATTCAGTACACAAATTTTGATTTTAATAATTTTCCTGTTCAAAATAATCCAAAACACCTGTTTTCCTGTGCACAATATATACGCAAATGTAATGTAAATAATAATACACCTGTGCAAGACATTCATACTAATTCAAAATTAATCTGACAATCTAAAACATGCATACCAAAGTATTTACAAATTACTAACATTAAACCCATAAATACATTACCAAATCCTATGTCAAAACATTTTCAAAATTACAACCAAATATTTTGATGTTAAACATCTAACCAACAAGTCATTTACTAAAATCCTATGTCAAAATATTTACAAAAACACAACACTAAATATTTTGATGCTAAACATTTAATCCATAAATCATTTACCAAAATCCTATGTCAAAATATTTCCAAAAACACAAAATCAAATCTTCTGATGCAGCCCAAACTATTTTCCACCATTGTCAATCTGTCACATGAAAAAAGAAAAAACAATATTAGATTGACAAAAAAAAAAACTCGATATGAACTTCACAATTTTGATTTTAATTTTGTAACGGGAAGTCCAATCGGGTGCTGTTTGCTCATACAACTCTATTTAGGCTTGAACAAGCTACCCGTGCCAAGTTTCGGTGGTTTTAGTGGTCATTTTGCAATTTTGGCCCCCGAACGGGCCTTTTAAGTCTTGTGTTTTACATTTTTTCTTCTAATTTTTTAACCGGAAATCCAATCGAGGTCTCATTTGTTCCTACAAGTCTATTTAGGTTTGAACAAGCTGTCCGTGCCAATTTTTGGTGGTTTCGGTTGTCATTTCGCAATTTTGGCTCCTGAACGAGCCTTTTAAGTCATGTGTATTACAATTTTCCTTCTAATTTTCTAACCGGAGATCCAATAGAGGTCTCGTTTTTTCCTACAAGTCTATTTAGGCTTGAAAATGCTGTCCATGCCAAGTTTTGGTGGTTTCGGCCGTCATTTTGAAATTTCGGCCTCCGAATGGGCCTTTTAAGTCTTGTGTTTTACATTTTTCCTTCTAATTTTTTAACCGGAAATCCAATCGAGGACCCGTTTGTTCCTGCAAGTCTATTTAGGCTTGAACAAGCTGTCCGTGCCAAGTTTCAGTGGTTTCGGTGGTCATTTCGCAATTTCAGCCCCCGAACGGGCCTTTTAAGTCTTGTGTTTTACAATTTTCCTTATAATTTTCTAACCGGAGATCCAATTGAAGTCCCGTTTGTTCCTACAAGTCTACTTAGGCTTGAACAAGCTGTCCGTGCCAAGTTTCGGTGGTTTCGGTAGTCATTTCGAAATTCGGCCCCCGAACGGGCCTTTTAAGTCTTGTGTTTTACATTTTTACTTCTAATGTTTTAACCGGAAATCCAATCGAGGTCCCGTTTGTTCCTACAAGTCTATTTAGGCTTGAAAAATCCATCCATGCCAAGTTTTGGTGGTTCCGGTGGTCATTTTTCAATTTCGGTCCCCGAACGGACCTTTTAAGTCTTGTGTTTTACAATTTTCCTTTTACTTTTCTAATCGAAGATCCAATCGAGGCCCTGTTTGTTCCTACAAGTCTATTTAGGCTTGAACAAGTTGTCTGATTATTCAGCATTTGGTGGCCATTAGAAAACATTTTCTGTTCAAATAAGTTTTTTTCCAATGACCATGAGAATTGTTTTCCATTGACTTCCATTTGTCATAATACCAAACTCCAAAAAATGTAGAAAACGTATTCTGCTGCAACAAACTAAGCATAAATAAATGAAAAGGCCCAACCCAAGTGGCCTGTGTCTTATTATTTACACTCTTGCAGCATGATTTTTTTTTTTTTTTTTTTGATAAGTAAACACTCTTGCAGCATGATTGATCATTTGCAATGACAAAAATGTCATGCTGCATGGAGAAGGCAGCCAATTAAGAAGGGTCGCATTCTCCAGTTACTCATCCTAGTGTATTAATTCAACAAAAAAATTTAGAGAAAGAAAAAGATCTAAGTTTTGGAAGAGCAATGAAAATTTTGAATACACACCAGATCATAGATATACACAAAGCAATCACTAGATCCGGTGTAGATGTACTTTTGACCAGTGCTGCAAAAAAAGGAAAAAGGCATTACAAGATTAGAAACTTCAATCCATTTGGAAACACTTTCGGATAATATGGTACACCATTCAGTACCCTGTCAAAATAAAACCCAATTACATTGGATAAAACCAATGTTCTAAAATTATAGGCCAAAAATTGACATCCAATAGGCTGCGGCTTCTTTCCAGTTTGACAAGCATTGCAGTCTAACTAGAATGAATCCAAAAAAAAAAAAAGGGCAAAACAAAATAAAATAAAATAAATTTCAGACCCCAGTTGGATAACATTAAAGGCAATTTCACAGGCCAAATCATTCAAAATCGTTCAACCAGAATCCACTTTGGATGTTTGCAGACAAATAACCTGCAAGATATAAACCAGTATTTGGTGCATTAGACTGAGTCTGACTAAACCAGTGTGAGTCGTAAGAGCTAAAAGATTTAGGGGCATATATTTGTGACGAGCAATCATCATCAGTTGGTGAACTAGATTTGAGTTCAAAATTTTCATAGAAGCAATAACAATCATTTTGACATTCTATAGAGTATAAGACTGAAATGAAATAAAATTGTCTCTGCAAGAAGATAGTATCAGTGAATTACCTATATGCTGGGGAGAAGTAACAGCGTATGAGAGTGCGCAAGACTGAAATTTTCAAGTCAGCAAAGCAATCATTTTGCTATACTACATATAAATCCCCTTCCCCAGCTTCGGCGGAGACCATAGTTTGACACACCCCAACCACACTCAAGTTGCCACACCCTAGATTGAACATTAAGCAAAGGAAGCCTGTTGAAACCCAAGTTTTGGAGTAAGCAGAGTATGTAAGATGTATCATTCCTAAGAATTCCTCTAGGTCAATGCCCAGGGAAGAACTAGAGCCAAAAAGCAAGAGATCCCAATGGCACAAGTCAAGTAAGCATATACATATTTGAACGATTTAGCATATGACTGACCAGCAGCGAATATGAATGATATCTAACATGAGATCCCACCTAAAGAACATGGATTATAAATATTAAACATTATGCATACATTTTTTCATATAGTGATCCTTAAGTAAAATTTAAAATTTGTCTTTGAGAATCATACAAGTTAGTGCTAGAATTCATGCCAACAACCTTACGTTCATATTTTCAAAGTTTCTATTTTATTTTTTCTAAATTTTCTCTCTAACTGGGCATGTTTTGGATAACTTAAAGAATTGAAAGTTAACAATAGGACATTAGGTTCCTCCACTTCTCCTCCATTACTGTATTATATAAATTTCTATTACTCATCAGAGAATCAAATCAGTTCAATCACTAGAGTATAGTTGAGAATTAGTAAACACGAATGCAAAACAAAAGCAACAAAAGAAGCGTACCAAGTGACGTTAGAAGACATTTTCTGAATATCCCAAAGTTTGAATGCCTGATCCTTTCCATTCGAGATAAAAATAACGGCCATCTCCACGACTGTCAATAAAAGTAATGCCTTCAATATGTCCCGTCAGGACCCCAGCTGCTTGCCCTTTTGCAACGAAACAACGCCTGTCCCACACCAAACAATTTTATTTCAAGATTCCTAGTAAAATAAATGGAATGCATGATTAAAAGAAAAACAACAATAGCTTGTGAGCCAGCAGCACCACAGATTAATCATCCTGCCACTGCAATAAATCACCCCTCTTTTCATTGCATCTAAACATTCTTAAAAATCCCAGAGGTCCTGACAAGTGATTTCTATGAGAATGCATTTCAAAAGCATTTCTTGACCATATTAGGGAGTATAACACCAAGCCAATGGCCCACAATTTCTATTCATCTGATATATGACAAATGGTAAAATTAAAATCAATTTCACACCACAGCACTGTAGGAAATATAAACCCTGGGTTCTGTTGTTCTCCAAGCTAGGCATCTGCAAACTATAAAGATGAAACAACACCAAGGATCAAACTTGAAACAAACCCCTAAAAAATATCATC